TGGCTCATATCTGCAAACAACCTTTTTTCCAAGGTGCAACTAGATAATCGAACTTACTTTCATCAGAGATATAGCCATTAAGTCTCCATTCTGAGGTTCTGAGAGCAGCTCAAAGCGCCTTCTCCTAATGTTGAAGACTCCCATTGTTCCATCTCCACTGCGAGAAATAGGATGGTACATAATATTTATTTACAAAGTGAACTTTATTTGGAATATGATAGTTCAAGAATGGAGCTTTCTGGAGAAATCTAAAAAATGTTCTGCTCTCTTCTTCTCATGTAAAATCTCCTCTTATGAATTCAGCAGTTTTCGAAAGTAAATTCTGTGATCTGGTAGTAGTTAGATGCCTTGAGTATGATGTCCTGAATGACTTCCAGTTTTTGAGATACTTTGAACTGTTTCAGGAATTTACTTCTGGAAATTACTGGTCTGCTCCAGAATGGCATGTTCCAGAAGGGGGATGAAATGTTTTGGACCTCTCCAGAACATTTCGTTCCTAAATCACTAAATCTTATACATACCTATTTGCCTTCTGGCAAATTCTAATAAAAAGCTTATTTATAATCACTAGCAGTTCAGAGCTGGCTATAGATTACACTGCATTTATGTGAAATGCCATTACAACAGTGAAAAGAATAACACCAAAAGATATGGTGATAGTTTTTATCTAAAATCGTTCAATCTTTCCTGTAGCAACAACTGTTGTAAAACACCTGCACTCTAAACATACAAATGTAATCTACTGATCTACTGAATTAACAGGAGAACGTAGTACCTGGTTGTGAGAAGCAGCTTCTTGTTTCTATCTAGGATCATATCACTGATGTAGTCTTCATGCTGCTTCATTTCCATGATGGATGTGCCCTTGCGCAGGTCCCATAATTTCAACATTCCACTGTCATCTCCTGTGGCGAACAAATGCTCATCTATCACCAATAGGCTGTTCAAAGCTGAGCTGTGGAAATTTCAGAGTAGAAGAGCCAACATTATAACTTATTTGTACAGCTGTTCTCTTTTTAAACCCTTATTCATATATAACTATTCTACTCAAAAGGCATAGGTACCATTAACTAATTCTAAAGAGTAAAACCGGGGGGAGGGGCCTTAAGTGGGTAATAAGAAAATCTGACTCCATCATTATTTTTTCTCTACATAATGAAAGATCTATGTCAAGAGAACAATATTTAAAAAAAGGAAATAACCCCTTTTTTTCTAAAGATGTCAAAACCTACAGCCACTATAATTGCTAACAAGAATCCAAAATTAAAATTGAAAGAACATGAGGTATCTGTTGGAGTGAGTGTAATTCATCACTCTCAATAAGTTTAGACAAATATGAATGTTCATGCTGCAAACTGCTAGCCTGAATTACTAGAAGTTGAATTCTTACCCAAGAAAAATACATTCATATGGGATAAGGCTGAATCTTTCCTTTTCTCGTTTTCCCATAATTCAGAACATTTTGAAAGCTGGTATTTCTTATTGTAAGAAATAATAATGGGCTTCTTTGAGCCTAAGAGTTCTAACTGAAGACTGATGGACTAATAATAATCTAGTTCAATTGAAAACCTCCAAGAAAGTCTTAAATATAGATACCCATCCTACAAATTAAAGCCAGTTTGGTCTAGTGGTTAAGGTACCAGGCTGGATAGGAGGAGACCATGAGTTCTAGTCCCACATTAGCCATTAGCCATGAAAGACCTTGTGCCAGTCACTTTCTCTCAAACCGAACTGACCTCAGAGTTGTTGTTGTGAGGAAAATAGGACGACAAAGCTGTGTTGGGTATGTTCACTACCTTTAATTATTTGCAAAAATAATTAAAGCATGATATAAACAAATAACTCATGCTCAAGAATCTTAACACGAGGGAAATAAAGAACTATAAGTAGAAAATATAGCACCACAGTAAATGCTGCATTACCAAGGCTACAGAATGGCTAATAAATAATTCAGATACCTACTTGTGAGCCTTGGAGAATCGTGTCACAAGACGGCCTTCCTCCACATTCAGGATATGAATAGATTTATCCTTGGATACTGTGAAAAGCCCTGGAATATAGATGGGGGAAGCCCATACCATGACATGACCAAATTCCAAAGGGGAGGGGCTTTTTCTAACAGTTTTATACTTCAATACTTCACCCTGAATGAAG